AAATCCAATGCAGAGTGTAAGTGGGTTTTCTGCTTAGGGTTTCTCAAGGCTGACCTCAATGAAGTTGTTAGAAGAGTTGGCCTAGCGGCAGTAAACTGCACTGCTACCTCAAAAGTACGCGGTTTAAATCCTCCAGCTGCTTCGCAGGAGAAGGATGGGCAGTCTCCTCCTCTGTGATTCACTGCCTCCTCTGAAAACTTGCTGAAGGGTCAGCTATGGATGATAGGTTCCTACTCAATGGTACACAGCAACAACAACAGGACTAAGGCCACTGCTTTCCTGCTGACTCAACTGGAAACATTTCATTTTGCATTCCTTGTCACAAGGATCTTTCTAAAACATGGCAGTTTGTCCCCTAAAGGTTGGCAGGGGCATTTTTTCATTCTTTGAAAGTTTCTGATTTCAGGATGGGTCCAGTCCTTTTTAAATTATTACCTAATTATGTCAAGCACACTTAGTATAATCTCTCTTTTCAACTGATTGGTCATATAATCATGGATGTGATATTTCCTCATTTCCACAGGTTCTAGCCATACTTATAGAGAGGTGATCACACAGGCTAAAATTCTATAAGTCTGTGGTACACAGACTTTTAAGCTGGATTCCAAAATGATGAAATCTATTTCTGTAGCCTTGCAGCAGAGTGGAATATGGATTTGAGGAACAAAATGCTGGAGAAGAGGAAACCTTCCAAGAGGCTATGGCTATTCTAGAGAACAGGTGGTGGGAAAAGAATGGGCAGATAAATGGAGCCCATGCAAGCAGCAGTCAAGAAATTAAATGACACATTGCTTTGGACAAATCTGTTGCAAAAGACTTTTCTTTAAAATGTTAAAAAGCAAAGCTGTCACTTTGAGGACTAAGGTCTGGCCCAAGGCATAGTATTTTCAGTTGCCTCATATGCATGCAAAACTGTACAATGAATAAAAAAAGATGAGGGACTTGTTGCTTCTGAATTATGGTGTTGATGAAGAATACTGACTATATCATGGACTACCAGAAGAATGAACAAATCTGTCTTGGTAGAAGTGTAGCCAGAATGTTCCTTAGAAGCAAAAAATGGCAAGATTTCAACTCACACACACATTGGGCATGCTATCAGGAGGGATCTGTTATCAGAGAGACATCATACTTACTAGAGAGTCAATGATAAAGAGAAAACCATCATTGAGATGGACTAACACAGTATCTACATCAATATAAGACCAGATATGCCTCCACACTTCTGTACCTCTGTCAGTTCCAACACTAACTGTCCCTCCACGGTGCTTGATGCTCTCCTACAGAGTCTGCTAATCCATTGTAATTGCCACACAGAACTCACAGGCGATACAGCTACAGGTTATATTAGGGAAGTTAACAAGTTGGGAACAGGGTATAATTCTTGGTCAGGACAGCTTCTCAGGTATGCTTGCAGGACCTTTGACCATTATTAGTCTTGCAGCTTCAGGCCAGTGCTACAAAGTTCTCTTGGTCAGTGCTACAAAGTTCTCTTGGTCTTGGCATTTATAGTATTTTCCCTCACCTTCCCAGACCTCCATCAAGCTTGAGCAAAGGCCCTTGAAACTGGTTCTGGTTCTGGCTCCATGGAGCTGTGGTTCTCAGTCATCTTCATCTCCCACAGGTCTCTGGTTTTCTGCTGCTGTTACTGCTGCTGCTCTCATCTAGGTCCCGGTCTAACTCAGGCAGGAAAATCCAGTCAAGATGGACAATAGACTCTTCTTTTTCTTTCTTTCTTACAAGGAGTGAGATCCCCATTTTCTGCATGTGAACTAGCTGAATTTAAATGAGGCAAATGACAAAACTAGTCAATGCCCTCTTTAGTAGTCTATACACTTTATTAACATGATCCCATCCAAAGGTGCTCTTCACCTCATCACATCATTAACATAGCCCCACTCAACCATGTGGTGAAAGTAATTTTTTTATTTTATTATTTTTGTGTGTGTACCATCAAATCAGATCTGACTGGTACAGGAGGAGATTGTCCCTCCTTCTCCAGCAGAACATCTGGTGGATTCAAACCGTGCACCTCTGGGTTTGCAGTACAGCTTCTTGCCACTAGGCCACCAGAGCTCACCGGTGAAAGTAAATTTAAACAAAAAACAAAAAAGAACCAATGACTAGAAAAGCTATTTGGAAAAATCAAATCTATTGAACACAGGCTCTGAGTGAGAACCAACTTGACAGTACCTAACAGCATCAGATAAATGAGAAAGACACATAACGGATAAATTGACAGGGCCTACTATACCTCCACCAGGAGTGTCTTCCTTGCATCATCTCATGACTGGCTCTCTTATCCCACCCCCTTCTGTGCCCACGCTGAGTATGTAGGTTTGCTGCTCCTTTGCCTACTCTATTATCTGCTAACACATCATTTAGCTTATTTCTTTCATGGTACATTTTTTTTTATGATAGCATATTTGCTTTTTCGCTTTCTTTAAAAAAAAAACCAAAACTACACCCTTTCCACTCTAAGCTCAGTGAGGGCAAAGGCGATTTCTCTTTTTCTCTTCTGTATATCTCTGCAATCCCAGAATTCCACAGCGACGTCCACAAGAAGCTGTGCTGCTAACCTGAAGGTGGTGCCTCTCTTGTGGTCTGAATTCACCATCAGGGCGGGGGGAGAAAGATAGGCTATCTCCTCCCATGCATTTTACAGTCTTTTCAAGCCTCTAGAGGGTCAGCTATGAGTCAGTTCCAACACAGAGAAAAGGAATTTGAGTTTGAACATAAAAACAAACCAGCTGACTGTGTTGAGCCAGTCCTGACCCATAGTGATCTTCAGAGTAGAACTGCACCAGAGGGTTTCCAAAACTAGAAATCTTTACAGGAGCAGATTGTCTTATCTTCTGTCCTTGAAATGTCTGGTAGATTCAGTCTGCCTACCTTTTGATTGCAGCAGTATTCTTTAAACACTCTATTAACATTTTGGTCTGTCTTCTTCTGTCTTTCTAATCACCTTTTACATTCTTTGTGGATGATACTCTTAATATCCTCCCTCAGCTCACCTGGTCTTCATTCATCAGTATTCAAGGCCTCAAACCTGTTCTTGAGTTGGTTTTTAAATTCAGGAGGGACAGACTCAAAGCCAGATTTTGATTCTTGTGGATATGATTTAACCTTCTTTAGTTTTAATTTGACCTTGCATATGAGTAGTTGACGATCTGTTCCTCAATCAGCATCTGACCTAGTATTCCCAGGTAATATTGAACTTCTTCAGTGATTCCTTCCACAGATCTGATTCCTGTGCATACCATCAGGTGGAATCCATGTGTATAGCCTGTATTTATGTTTCTTAGAAAAGGTATTTGCTATGAATAAATCATTGATTGTGCAGAATTCTATCTTAACATCCCCAGCTTCATTTCTGTTACCAAGTCCATGTTTTCAGATCACTGATCCTTCCTTCTGGTTCCCAGCTTTTGCACTCCAGTCACCCATTATTATTATTAATGCATCTTGGTTGTTTGTTTGATTGATTTCTGACTGCAAAAGTTGGTAGAATTCTTCTATCTCCTCTAGTGGTTTTCACTGGCCTTCCTTGTATAGATACGGATATTATCCTGTCAGTCACAACATTGTATTTCAAGTTGGAGACTCTGAATATTGCATTGGTGGTGGTGTTCAGTGCCGTCGAGTCGCAGGCGACTCATAGCGACCCTATGAAGGAGAGTCCTCGACCCTTGAGTGCCTTTCATCCTCTCTCCAGGTTCATAGGGTTTCCGGAGGCAAGCTATTACTGAAGTGGATAACACTCCTTCTTCCAAGAATATTGCATTAGAATATGGAAAAGCCAAAGCAAAGAGAAGAAATCAAGATGTAAAGGAGACGAATAGAAGAGTTCAAACAGCAGCACAAGAAGACGAAGTAAAATACTATAATGAAATGTGCAAAGAACTGGAGTCTGAAAATCAAAAGGTCCGTACTCACTCAGCATTTCTTAAGATGAAGGAACTAAAGAACAAATTCAAGCCTCGAGTTGCAATACTTAAGGATGCTATGGGTAGAATAGCGCTCAGGCCTTTCATTCATAGGGTCGCTATGAGTCGTCTACAACTCAACGGCACCTAACAAAAACAACAGCATGGGTAGAATATTGAATGATCAAGGAACTATTAAAAGAGGATGGAAGGAGTATATAGAGTCACTGTACCAAAAAGAATTGGCTGACACAGAAGAATTTCAAGAAAGAACATATGATCAAAAGGCATTGGTGATGAAAGAGGAGGTTCAGGCTGCTCTAAAGGACTTGGCAAAAAATAAAGCCTCAGGAATTGATGGAATACCAACTGACATATTTCAGCAAGCAGATGCTGCCCTAGATGTGCTCACCAGGTTTTGCCAAGAAATCTGAAGGATAATTGACTATAAGAGATCCATCTTTATTCCCATTCCCAAAAAAGGCAACCTGACAGTGTGGAAATTATCAAACAATATCTCTAATATCACACACTAGCAAAATCCTGCTGAAGATTATCCAGAAAAGACTGGAACAGTACATTGACAGAGAACTACCAGAAATACAAGCTGGGTTTAGAAGAGGTCATGGCACTAGAGACATTATCGCCAATGTCAGATGGATCTTGGCAGAAAGCAAAGAGTATCAGAGGGATATCTATCTGTGTTTTGTTGACTATGCAAAGGCATTTGACTGTGTGTATTACAACAGACTGTGGTTAACATTGAGGAGAATGGGAATCCCAGAACACCTGATTGTGATCATAAGAAACCTGTATTGGACCAAGAAGCAGTGGTCAAACAGAGCAAGGAAACACTGCATGGTTCAAAATCAGGAAAGGTGTGCTCCTACCCTAATGACTTATTTATCCACCTTTTCTCAATCTTCCTACTATTTTCACTCAAAACCTCTGTCCTCTCTAGACCTAATTTTTTCCTTCTCTTACCATATGCATCAACATGATTTGCTCTACAGTAACCACTCTTTTCAATCCATCCTTCCATCATACCTGTCCTCTCTCCCTTTCCTGTTTCAGGTATACTGCAGTGGTAATGCCGGTTCACTACCAGCACGGCACAGGACAAAGCTCCTGCCGACGTGTGGCCTTCATGATCACGGTTGTTTGGGTCCTGGCCTTTGCTGTGTCCTGCCCTCTCCTCTTTGGCTTCAACACCACAGGTAACAACGATGGCTCTACTTCCATGTGACTCACAGCACACCTAACAGGCAGTGAGTGATGCTCAACCCCAAAATGTGTGGCCCCTGGCATCCAAACAGCACGCCATATTACAAGCAGCGTTTTGGACTCTGTTATTGTTGTTGTTTGTTAAGTGCTGTCAATTCAGGTATGACTCCTAGCAACCCTCTGAACAACAGAACTGAATCTTGTCCTGTTCCACACCACGCTTATCCTCAGTACACTTGAGACTATTGCTGCTGCACTGTATCAAGCCACCTTGTTGAGGGTCTTCCTCTCTTTTCCTAACTCTCCACCTTTCTAAGCATAATGTGCCTCCATAAGGAATAAATAGCCTCTCCAAACAATATGACCAAAGTGCATGAGATAAAGCTTTGCCACCCTTGCCTCCAAGAAGGATTCCTGCTGTACCCTCTCCAAGGTATATCTATTTGTTCTTTTAGTAGTCCATGGACTATTCAGTACTCTTCTCCAACTCCACAACACAAAGGCTTCAACTCTTTTGCTATCTTTATTCTTGTCCAGCTCTCAGATGCATAGCAGATGATTGGAAAGGCTATTGCCTGAATCAATTGCACCTTAGTCGTTAAATAGACATTGCTCTTTAGGACTTTAGAGAGATCTCTAGACTCATCCACATTGTTTCATGGACTCATTATTGTTTTTAGTTTCATTTTGGTTGTTTATCACAAATCCAAAAAATATTAAGTTACTGACAATTTCAATCTTTTCTCAGTCAACCCTGATGCTACCCAATGTTAGTTAGAGATAAAACATAAGGCAAACCTCATCAATTATTGGCACAAAAGTAAAAAGTTCTAATAAATAAAAAGCCTGAGTTTACCCATATTTTAAGAGTGATGTCATTGACATCAATTTAAGATAGTTACTTGTAAAAAAAAAAAGATAGTTACTTGTTTTAGAAAAAGCAAAATAAACCATAAAGATATTAATGGGTCCCAGTAATTCTGTAAAATTACTTTTCTAAATGAGCAATGGCAATTCATAATGGACCTACAATGTAAAAAAAGCTCATTCCTTGCCACTGAGTGATAACCAACTCTTAGCTGAATTTCCAGTGGGCTTCCAAGATTATAAATTCCAGGTAAAAGATCATCCATCTCTCTCCTGAAGAGAAGCTTATGGATCCCAATCACCAGAGAGTGGTGACCTCTGAGTTATCGGTGCAACTCCCCATGGACCCACACCATCAGTATAACAAGGCAAAATAACACATCACAAAAGTTCAGAGGTTGGGTATGTCTTTCTAACCTTTCATTTAATAATTCTTTACCTCTGGAACTTGCATAGATTTCCAAATTACTGGTGTATTTATCCAATTTTAATACACAAAATTCTTGCCGGGGGGTTGGCAGATGGCATATTATCTGTTGAATGGATGGACAATGTTTTTATCTGAAATGTCTGAGATAGTAGGCATTCACTGTCAATCACTGACAAATTTATATTTCATATGGATTGATGCCTTCTGTGTCTTTTCCATTTCCATATTCATCTTTCATTCCTAGGAATTTCATATGCTAAATGAAAGCTATTAAAATACGCAGTAAAGTTACAGGTATTGAAAACTAGCATTAAGTGTTTGCTAAGAAAGGCTTGATTGAACTGTGCGATAGTGCTCATCTGGATTTCTTATCATGTCCATTTGCATTGGTTCATTAAATTCCTAGCGTGAATTCCTACATTCTCCAGGTTCAGAAATTTCTGGTATCTGCATACTAGTCAAAGTTCCTGCATGGTACAAATGGTACATTCTTGACTATTTACCTAAAGGTTGGTGGTTCAAATTTAGCCAGTGATACTATTGACCAAAAAGTCCTGACAATCTGATTTTGTACAGGTTTCTACCAAGAAAACCCTATGAAACAGTTCCACTCTGTAATACATGGTGTTACCATAAATTGGAAATGACTTGATGGCAATTGGTTTGACATACCACTCATGTAGCCACATCCAATTTATGAACAGTTTTAAAGAAATCATTTGCCAGACAGTGATTTAGATATCAAAAACACGTTTAGAGAGAAAAAGAGAGGCTCTGGAGTCAGAAAGAATTCAGCTCTGTCACTCATCAGCTATTACTTAACTTTTCTGAGTTCAGTTCATTATTGGTAAATTTGAGATAAAAATATAATGGAGCATATATTTCTTTTTCTAAATACCAATGGTATATGGTATACAGAAAGTCATGCTCCCAAGCCAAAGGTGGTGACTCTAATCCGCAGCCCTTATGCCTGCCTTTACTTGTTTTCAATGAAACATTCCTGTAGGTCATATAATGCTAGTATGTCCACTTGCTGTACAGAGGTAACTCATGGTTGCTGTGAAGCCGAATACTGTGACACTGATGTGTCAAATGTGAGAATGTTTACCCATGGTGGACAGTGTTTGGTGGCACTCCCAGATTAAAACAAGCTTGGAAGCAGGAGTGACATCCACGTCCATAGTAGCTTGCTTCTGGAAACCCTATGAACCTAGAGAAAGGACAAAAGTTATACAAGTGTCCAGGTCTTATGTTCATAGGGTCGCTATGAGTCGCCTCCAACTCAATGGCACTTAACAACAACAACAACATATACCCATTGACTTCGAGTCAATTCTGACTAATAATGACCCTCTTGGGGCAGATTAGAACAGTCTGTAAGTTTTCCATGGTTGAAATCTTTACCGAAGCAGATTACCACATCTTTACATCATTTCTACTTGACTCATTCACTTTAGAATATAAACTCCATCAAATAATATAACTCAACTCTACCTCCTCCACTGTGGTCCTTCACAGCACTGCAATTAAGGGAAAATTAAATTAGTAGAACATACGCGGAAGTGCCAAGTACATACCATATGCTTGTCAGGTTCTTCACTCTGCTACATAAAGGTCCTCAAGGCATCGAATATTTGCCTGACTAAGCTGATGTCTTTTTTTAAAAAAAAAATAATAATGTTTTCCTTATCTTTATGTTACCTCCCACTTTTTACTTTAACAGAAAACATACATTTAATATAATATAGTATAGTATATATAATATACAAAGATCTTTATCTTTTTCACATACTACTTTAGTTTTAACTCATACCACACATACATCCCCCAGAGATTAACCATGTAGCACTGAAATAATCACTTTGGTAAATGTTAAATGTTCTTTTAGGGTTGGTCTGATCACTAGGTCGGCTTCTGTAATCTTGTTTCTGTATGAAAGTGCATTTTCAGTTGGGATTTGTAATACCAAGAACTCACTATCACTGCTCAGCCAGAGTACAACTTCTCTCTGGGACTGAGTATGGTGCCTCTTACTCATTTTGAGGGACTGATTGGGGTGATTGGGGTCTTACTCTCACAGACAGACAGGTACACACACACTGGTGACATTTCAGCGAGTTTAAAAATCTGACATTAGACAGAGTTCCTAGTTAATGTCAACATCTAAAGTGAAGAAGAATGACGAGTTAATTGCAGTGTTGTTGCCACCCATGAGATCATTATTGTTCCAGAAACAAAACCTAGAAAAATCTTTCCAAAAGGATTTTCAAATATAGAATTGAGAAGGTACAAAAGGCCTCTGACAGCACATTCAGTCTTACTTCTCTCTCAATATTCTCAGTCTTTCTATTACTTTGTAAGTTTATTGATTACCCCATAGTAAATCCTCCACTTAATCATATGCTGTTTTATTGTGTCAGGTCCATTATAAAAGCACAATAATTATTAAGGTGTCATTGTTGTGCTTATTATTTTTCTTTATTAGAGAAGACAATGTGCCTCAAAATTTAAGTATACACTTTTCCCAAAGATCTAAACAGCAGTAGTTCTTCTGCTAGTGGTAGAAGAGACCAGCCATCTTGTTCTAGAAAATTCTTCAGAAAATTGGTGAGAAGAATTCAATGTGAGGAAGCCTTCTCTGCCTCAGTCTGACCTTCACAGCACAGCTGCATTGTCATGATAGATATGAGTGTCTCTTCCACCTATAAGGAAATTCTTTAATTCATTCTAAATGTAAAATAACTTCTATTTGCCACTTTTTTCTAATTCTTCAGTGAAAAATAGAGAGGAGGAAAGGGAAGGATGCTGTCATCAACACTTGATATTGAAAGGGTATGAGCGTTCACTGTTGTGTAAGGGTGAGTCAGAAGAAATTCATAGCTGACTCTCTAGTGTGTTTTCTGGGACACTAAATCACACAAGAGATTGCCTGTCTTTCTCCCACAGAGCAGCTTGTGGATTCTAACTGTGTAGCTTTGTGTTGGTAGCACAATTCCTAACCATTAAGCCACCAGAGCCCCCCAGACTTTCACTAAGAAGTATAATGGAAGAAAGAACTTTCTGATAACACTCTCTTCTTCTGATGAAATGGGCTGCCACATGGAACTATGACTTGCCAAGAGCAGACAGAACTTGGCAAGAACATATTAAGTCTCTTCCATATTGGGGTGGCTCTTATTTTCTGAGATAAAGGGCAACATGCCCTTTTCTGTGTGCACAGATGATCCAAGATCTTGGGTCACAGAGAGCTCAGAGAATATGGGCTTAGTTACCCAGAGCAGAGGCCAAACAGTCTGGTCAAAAATGGCATCATTAACCCGATAGTAGCAGAACACCAGAGGGATCAAAAGATCCCTGAAGGAGTAGTCCTAGTCCATCCTCTCATTTAAGATGAGAAAAACAGCTAGTATTTAAACTTATGCTGTCAGATAGCTACTGTTTTACAAGAAATTCTAGAATCACTAAACAAAACTTGTGATAAACATTTAAGGCAGGAAAAACCTCAATCTTTATTAAATCTCATCTTCTGATTAATTTTCTGTTGAAAAAGTAAAATGAAGAAGTGTTAACATTTAATTTCAATAATAGACTGTCTTTGCTTTAAGATCATTTCAATTGGTGGGGGCTGGGGGAGAGTTATAAACTCATCGTAAAATCATACTAGCCAACATAACCTGTCTTTGGAAACATGTTAGA